TGCGTGCATGCGTGCGTGTGCACGTACACGTGCGTGCATGCGTGCGTGTGCACGTACACGTGCGTGCATGCGAGCGTGCGTACGTGCGTGTGCACGTACACGTGCGTGTGCACGCGTGCGTGCGTGTGCACGTACACGTGCGTGCATGAGTGTGTGCGTGCGTGTGTACGTACATGTGCGTGCGTGCGTGCGTGTGCTTGTATCGAACAATATCACGCATCTGCTTGCTGCAACTGCGCACGAAAACACAGACACGAGTCATACGAAACGTGTCAAAGTAACGGATCCATTTCTGTTTTACGTGAATGACATGGCTTGTTGAACCAAATTAGAGAGTGCTAGTACCTTCGAAGTGGTAGAAGTCAAGAAGAGAAAGAAGTGGTAGGAAAGGCGCAAAGGGACGAAGTGACAGCAGATTCAAACCAAAGGGACAAGAATCTTAATCGAGCCATTGAAAACGTTACAAGATTAGGCCGTGTATCTAGAAAACCTAAAAGTTTTAGTTTTAAATTATTGTAAACTGCGTCGTGTTACAATATGTACAGTTGTGTACTATGTATGTAGTGGCCTCGACCCGAGTCCTCGAGTCCGGAGGGCTCGAGTCCGAGTCCGAGTCCGAGTCATTGCACTCCGAGGCCAAGACCGAGACCGAGACCAAGGAAAACGGTCTCGAGGCCAAGACCGGCCTCGAGACCTACAACACTGTTAGAAGTGTCGCAATGGTTATGATAATTCAATAGTGTAGTTATGTATATATTATAGTTATGAGTTATCAATCACGAGTATTCATAACCACTAACACTGTAGCCCCGAGCACCATCTGACCAGTAAGTAACATATCATGTAAATTCATTTTGTAATACTATAATGCTGGGCGTTATAGCGAATGGCTTTGTGAAGTGAAATATTAAAACAAGAATACTCTTATTGAAATCATTCGGTGTATTTTAAACGCCACTGCAATCACTCCACACTGCACATAGGATAGAATGCTAATGTACGTCCACTATAAATGATACAAATTAATGCGCAAAGTGTTATATGCAACACAAATAAAGGTAAAATAGGAAACCACTTCTTCATGTCACAGCTTGTCTAACAAACACTATAACAATGGCTAAGAGCGAGAGCACACAAACGTGCTGAGGAAAAACTAGCTAATCTTAACGTATTAAAAAATAACCTGAAAGAGTGCCAACTTTACTCCTAGCAGGCTATTAACAGGTAAATAAATATGTTCTAAAAACTGTAAACGTTTCCACATATAAAGGTGACAGCAAATTCAGATTCTGCTAATTATGCAGTGTTCAAATTTGGTCATCTGGCGACCCAGGTGGCATTGATTTTTAACATCACATAGACTGGGAGGCATATAACTTCATCTTGTTGAATCCACTATAGGACACTAAAGGCTGTACGGATATAAATTTTAACTCCAACTGCACTTTGAGAGGTCGCTGAATGCCACAAGATGGCGCTGGAACCTGTTGCCTAATCTTCATGCTGAGGCTTTGCAATGTGTCTCACTCCACCATCACTCACGAGTTTGTGCGACATACACATGCAACGTCAGAGAACACGTCTAGCGTACGGCAGTACGTTGGTGACAGACATCAGGTAGGCGTGATACCCATCCTCATCCTGGTCGTTCGAAGCCTAATCTGCGGATGCTCAGCTTCCAGGCTCCTCACGATCTGCTCAAGCTGCTGCATCCGCTCCGTCTGCCTTTGCCGCTCCGTCGCCACGGCGACCGTGTCCTTGCAGAGCAGCTTGTACTTGCCCTCGCTCGCCGCCTCGTATCGCTTGCCCCGCTGCTGCCGGCTGACGATGCGCACGAGGTTAACGTGCTTGGCGTCTGCGAGCGCCTGCATGCGGGTGTCCGCCTCCGTGAGCTGCTCGCGCGCGTGCCGCACCGCCGCCTGCCGCTCATCAAGCTGCGCTCCGATCTCCTCCTGCAGCTGCTGCAGCTCGTGTAGCTCCTGCTCACACATCTCGGCCTCGCGGCGCACGCGCGTGACGCTGCGACGCGTCTCCACCTGCTGCTTGTGCAGCGTCGCGTGCGTGACGACGTTACCGGCGCGCGTCTGCGCCTCGCCGCGCGCCGCGATGGCGTCGCGCTTCGACACGCTGCGCTCGGTGTCCTGCACGAGCCGCTCCTGCGCGCGCGCCAGCTCACCGAGCCGCACGCGCATGCGGTGGATCTCGGTGCGCATCGCACGCGCCTCGCCACGGCCTGCCTCCGAGTCGACAGCGTCGCGGGCTTCCCGCGCCAGCTGTGCCTTCTTCTCCCACAGCATGATCTGTCGCTCGGCCTCGATCAAACTCGCGAGCAAACGCTCCTTCTCCTCACTCGTTGCCTCCAGTTGGTTCTTCAGCTGCACTGCCTCAAGCTCAGCAGCCTTGAGCGCCTGCACAAAGTCCATCTCGGCGAGCGCGTTGTCCTGTTCGAGGGCGCTGTGCAGGCCGCTCTCGCGGTGCACGAGCGTGTTCAGCTTGATCATGTCGTTCTGGAGGCTGCGCGTGCCGCGCTCGATCTCGCGCATCTCGTCGCCCTGCCGCTTGATGTCGGCTTCGGCGCGCAGCCGCTTCTGGAAGAGGATCGTCAGTCGCTTGCGAAGCTCGTTGACGTCGGCGCCTTCCCGCGCGCCGTCGCGCGTCAGCCGCACGAGCTCCGTCTGCTCGCGCAGCCACAGCTTCTGCAGCAGCGCCCCCTGCCGGTCGACGTCGTCGATCGATCGCCGCAGCGACGCCGCCTGCATCTCGAGCGGGCCGATCTCGAGGCCGCCGGTCGCGGCGAGCATCGTCGCGGCGCGTCGCTGCAGCTGCTCGATGATCGTCTGCTTGCGCTCGATCACCGCGCCGCGCTTCCGGATCTCTCGCTCACGCCGCGCAAGCACGCCACGCGCGTCCGCTACCCGCACGTCGAGCATGCCGCCCGTACGCCGCTGCTGCGCGGCGACGTTGTGAGCGTAGGTGACGCGCAGCGCCGCCGCCGACGCGTCGTTGTCGACACGCGCGAGCGCCGCCTCCGTCTCCCTGAGCTGCGTCGCGACGCGCTCCGTCGTCCGCTCGTTGTACAGCGCGGCGTTCTTCGCCGTCAGCTTGGCGCGCATCGCCGTGACGATGGCCGCCTCGAGCCGCGACCGCTCAGCGTGCTCGCGCTCGGTCTGCGTCTGCAGCGACGACAGCTCCATCTGCTGGGTGTTCTTGTCGGCCTCGGCGCGCGCGGCCGCCTGGTCCGTCTCCTGCATGATGCGCGCGTATGTTGTGTACTCTTGCTGGAGCACTTCGTGTTTCGTCTGCGTCTGCGAGACGGTCTTCTTAAGTTGCGCCAATTCGGATTCTGGAAAGTGCAACCGGACAAGAAAATGTAATTATGTCAGCAGTGAGGCGGTGGTGTGAATAAATAATAATATGTCTATTATTATTACTATTATTATTATTACAATAACTATGTATTATTATTATTATGTCACTATGTATATTACATATATTACATTATGTCGATAAAACGACATGACTAATGACTCATTTTATGGGCATGTGTAATGTGGTTCTTGCAAGAATTTATTCACTTGTTACAAAGACACCATGACAATGCTAACCACTTTTGTTTTGCAAATACGTCAGTTTCTCATTCTGTTCCTGCTCTTGGCTCACTGTCTTCTTGAATCCTTGCATTTCAGTCTCCAAATTTCTTACGTACTGGTGCTGCTGACTTAGTGCCTCCTAAACAGAGCGAATAGATTGGTGTGGAATAAATATTACTCTCAAGTAAAGAATACTTTAGATTGCATAATGCAGAATTGAAAACGAGCACCTGGGCACCTAAAGTAAAAATAAGAAATATATTAAGGACCCAGCTAAAATTAAGGGGCTCAGTTTGTCTCAAGCTACGTCTACACGACGAACCTTAACTCGAGTTAAGCTAACTAGTTAGCGATTATGTAGCGTCTACACGACAACACCCGATAGCGATTATTACCGATTTATTATGCATGCGTGCGTGCGTGTGTAATGTGTATGTAAACGTGCGTGCGTGTGTGCGTGTGTGCGTGCGTGTGCACGTATACGTGCGTGCATGCGTCCGTGCGTGCATGTGCACGTACGTGCGTGCGCGCGTGTGCAGGTACACGTTCGTGCGCGCGTGTGCACGTACACGTGCGTGCATGCGTGCGTCCGTGTGTGTGCACGTACACGTGCGTGTGTGTGCAGGTACACGTGCGTGCGTGCGCGCGTGTGCAGGTACACGTTCGTGCGCGCGTGCGTGCGTGCGCGCGTGCGCGCGTG